GAACATGTTCTTGGGGTATTTCAAGCTGCATGTCTGAGTGGAGTCTAGCCCTGGCTCTGATATTAATGAGCTGGATGGTTTTGGACAAAACCTCTTTAACCTCACTGTGACTCAGTTTACTCACCTGTCACTACTCAATCCATCATGAATCTGTCCCTGCACTATCAGTGAAGCCACACTCCTCTGTCCCATGGCTCCCAGTTTGGAAATCAATACTGTTTCAGCTTGGGAGGCCTCAAGCAGCTGCTTTCTGTATGCAAAGTGCTTCTGCCCTGAGCTGTGAGGACAGTACTGGCAGAGGGGATTTGCTCATCACACTGAACTCTGAGTAGGCCTTCAAGTTTAGAGGGCATTGCTGCAGTTCTTCAGGGCCAGCAACAGGAAGCGTGCTAGACAAGAGAAAACCTCCAAATGTCAACCGCACTACTGAAGGGGATGTGGGCCTCTGCCCCAAGACACGAACTGCTCATGCAGGGCAAGTCATTGACCCAAGCAAGCCACAGCATTTTAAAGAAAAAAGTTCCCTTTTTAAAATATCCTTCTACCCATCCTCTATCAATTTAAAAAGTATTTCTTACATGTTCAGATAGTGTCTGCAGTAAGCTTTCAGTAGGAAGCTTTTTAGGAAATACTGAAGCTGCAGAGGGTGCACCACCCACTGACTTATAATCACTAGACATCGGGCCCTTTTTAGGTAGCAGGTGTGGGCAGGGAATCCCGTCAATCCCCCACTACCTGCGGGGTATGCCCCCGGCTCTTTTGGAATCGTGGGACTCAACTTTCTCATTTCTCTGCTTCAGCACCCTGGCCAGAGCACCAGAAAGTGTGACCCCATACTCTATAAGGAATACACACACATAAACACATGTGTACACACATGCACTTGTACATACATGCATACATACATACACATATTCTTGCTGTCAGGCATCTGTAATTTCTGAACTGACTTGAGAACAGCGCCCTTCAATCCCCAAACAACATCCCTGGCAAAGTCTGTTGATGTGGGTTTGTCTCCAGCTTGTCAGGGAACATCTATGGGCTTAGCATCAGCTGTTGTATCATTCTGACCTTCCCTGGCCCACATCACACTGAAAGTCCAACATGAAGGGAGGTAACATGTGTATGCATGTGTGTGTGTGTTGTGTGTATGTGCATGCATGCATGTGTATCCATGTGTGTACTGTATGTATGCATTTATATGTGTAAGTGTGTATGTGGGTGTGTTTATAAAAGTGAGGGAGTAGGGCTATAGGATGTCCCTCTTCTCTGCAAAAGATTATAATTTAGTTGGAGACAATACATAATTGGAAATTATTTTAGAATAATCAGTTATGGAGTCAAATAACAACCTAAGTCCTAATTCTGCTGAATATGCAAGTGTTTGAGATGGGCTACACAAACCAGACAGACCTGCTATTCCCAGAAGTCAGGATTCCACTGCCTGCCTCTGGGCCTTTGTCTCCCAGGCCTGGCACTGTCTCCCTTCTCAACACCATCTCTAAAAATCTTTGATCTTTTGTCAAAGCCCAGCTTGGGGGAGGGGGTTTCTAGAGAAAGCTTCTGGGGCTCACTCCCTTATAGTCAGGCATAGGGGACAGCCATGAGACAGAACGCCATAGAATAGAAATCGCAAGGAGCCTAGTCTGACTGAGATGTAGAACACATGAGAGGGAATGAGGAGAGCCTGGCAGGCCAGGGCTAGAGCCGCCAAACAGAGAAGTTTGCATCTTACCTAGAGGCAGCAGGGACCTAGTAAAGTTTCTTGAGCAGGTAACTAACATGCTCCAGCAAGCTTTGGAAGACAGCATCAGGGCTACGGCAATGTTATCTGGGCTCTCAGACCTTTTTGGTTTTTAATTTTTTTAAATTTTTTAAAATTTTCATTTTTTCTTGGGCTCTCAGATCTTCATGATCATCTGGTCTAAATGTCCCCACCTATTTTACAGATGAAGAACTGAGGCTAGGAGTGGCTTTAGACCTAGATGTTACACTGTTGCTTCACACTGAACCCTTCACAAATCAGAATCTTTGCCCTCCAACCTGCTCTTCTGCCTCAGCTCCTTTACCTCCTCCTAAAGACCCCCCTCCCCTCACATTCCTTCCTACTTCCCCTCCCCAAACACCAGCTGGTCAGCAGACCAAGCCGGGAGACCTTCACTGAGATGTCTCAAACCTGCCTTCTTCTCTCCACTCACATGATCTAGTCCCAATGCTGGAGGGAGGAGACTAGGCCATAGGGAAGCCAGATCTCAGCACTCCATTACCCATTGAATGAAGAACAAACTGCCTTGTGTGGCATTCAAGGACCTTGGTGCAGCCTTGAAGGTGTCTCTGGCCCCTTCCCTGGCCACATGTCTAGAAACCACATCCTAGCAACCTTCAGGCCTAGCCTACTGTTGTTCAGCTGTGTCCAACTCTTTGTGACCTGTGGACCCTACTGTGCAGGGGTTTTCTTGGCAAAGATACTAAAATGGTTTGCCATTTCCTTCCTTCATGGATCAAAGCAAAAAGAGGTTAGGTGACTTGCCCACGGTCACACAGCTAGTAAGTGTCTGAGGCCAGATTTGAACTCAGGTCTTCCAGACTTCAGGCCCAATGTCCAGTGAGTCACCTAGCTGCCTCCTAAGCCTTAGCCCCCCCCCCCCCCCCCCCCCGCCATTACTCTGACCACATCTAACAATACCCAGTTCAAAGTGTGCCCCCCCTCATGAAGCCTTCTCTGATTCTCTGAGTTGGAAATGATCTCTTCTGCCTAGGAATTCTCTTACTTCTCTGTTCTCTCATGCCCTTAATATGTTCTATTTTGAACTATAAACTTTGGGGCATATCCTTCCTCTCCCTGACTAGATCACAAACTCCTTGAAGGTAGGAGATGATGCTCTGGGAAGCCAAGTGTCCAACATGACCCAAGCTTCCTGCCATGGTTTCCTCAAATCTGATGCTTGAGGATCAAGTTGACCAACCTCAGATTCTGCTCCACTCTCCGGGTGTGGGATATCCCGGGCCGTCCCCATTCCTTTCAGGTCACTCTGTTTGAATGTAGAGAAGCCTTCCCAGCTCTAGCATTTTTGGTCACTGTGGGACATGTACATTTCCTGCTCACTGTACTTCAAATATTCTGTTTCCAATTCCGCTTCTCTCCTCCCCACTTTGAATCTCACCTTGTCTAAGATGAAAATGAAGCTTTCACCCCACTCCTGTTAACAGTCTCATGGGTTTTATTAAGCCATAAATATATTTATACCATATACCATACATATACACCATATATTTTAACAGGAAGCCACCCACTTTTGGTCCACCATTGACTCTGGTGCATGCAGTGACCCGTGGTGAGTTTGTTAGCCTGTCCTTTTATCTGACTTTCTTGCTGGTGTCCTCTGTCTGCATTAGAATGTAAACACCAAGAGGGGAGGGACCACAGGTGTTTAAACTGACTTTCTACCTGTCTCCCAAGCCGAGCACATGCTCAAGGGCATTTCCTAATGGTGATTCAATGAGGATTTGAGCAGCCGGTTTGTAGCATCCATCAACTTTTATAAAGACAGCCTCTGGCTGTGTTTGAATAGGAGAGAAGCTCCCCAACTTGATGGTCAATTAAAGTGTGACCAGTTGACCCACACCACATTCATTAAGCAAATGAATACAATGCCCTGCTTCAAAGTTATCAGCAAAGCTTTGGGGGCTGACTGCAAGAAGGTGGTTACAGGCAGATTTTTTTTTTCTTCAATTCAGGCTTCCCTGTCTTGTTAGCATCCTGAGATTGCTGGACTCCAGAGTTTTAAACACATTTCCCTTTAAACCCCCCCCACCACCATTTCTGGAGCACTAAAGCTTCTTTAAATATTCAAGATTTCCACGTGATTGTGAATTGATCTGTCTCAGTGGCAAGGTGCCAGCGTATCTGAAGCTAGAAGGACCCCTTTTCCCTGACTTGGTTTTCCAATCTAAGGGTGGATATACTCTTTCCCCTCATTCCTAGAGCCTTCCACCGAGAAAGAGGCGTCCCTCAGTGTCTGACTTTAGAATGGAAGAGGCTGTTCCTGGCTCTAGATCCCAAACAAAAAGCATGTCCTGCAGATTCTAATCCTAAAATACATGAAAAGTTTCGCCTTGGCAGAAGGATTCTCATCCTTTGGAAAAACAAAACAAAACAGCTCTGGGCTGAGAGCCCGAGAATCTCAGTTTGTTGGAACCTCATTATTGTTACTCATTTTGCACAAAGCTCACCCCTCCCCACACTGCCCCCATCGGGGAGGGTAAGCTCTGGGTTGTGTGCTAAGGGCTGGTCTGAAAGGGCAGGATTCCTCCTGAGGAGAAATTCAGCCTGGCCAATGCCCCAAGGAGTGTGCCCACTGATCGGCCAGTGCCAGCTCCGGAGCTGAGCCTGCGGTGGCCTCATGGCCCCCCTGACAGCCGGGAGTCCTGGACCACTCCAGCGGCCAGCTACCGCCCCTCGGTTTATTTCACCTCCATTATGTACTCCTATGTGACAGGCTGCTTCTAACAAATACGAACTGAGCAGACCCCTCTCCCTCTCAGCGAACAGACGACACACAGCTTGGTTGGGCACAGAGGAGACAACAGCCTTAAAGGGCTGGGGCAGGCACCAACTGAACTCCTCTCTGCCCTGGGCACCGCTGATTTTCACGAGTCACAAGTAAAAAGACAGCCCTTCGGCGAAGATGTGCTTCCTTATCTGAGTGGGACCGGGCTGCCCCGATTAACCGGCGGCAGAGCCGGAGACAGCTCTCCCATACTCCCAGGAGCCAGCGCACCTCCTCTGGGGATGGGCTCCTTAGGACATTTCCCTTTCCCCAGGTCAATGATAAACAAATGCACCTCTCTCGGGTCCCTCAGACCTCTAGCACCATTTGCAGAATAATTCTCGAGCGCGCCCGGGACAGTCTGGACCCCGGCAGAGGACACACATAGCCACAAGGTGCCAAAGTCTGCACTCCCACCCTTCTCCCCCAAAGTAGCCCCGATGGACTTACCGGTCTTCCACAAATAGAGGAGAGAAGTCTGCGATCCAGCGTGCGCCCCAGCCTCACTGGCCCCGAGGATGAGGAGGAGTACGAGGAGAAGAGCGAAGAGCAAAAGCCCCTCGCCTCCTCGCTTGCAGAAGCAGGGGGCCACCCTCCCTCCCGGATGCCCCATGGCTCCCGCACTCCTGAAGGTCCGGTTTGGGGTCACGGTCCGAGGCCTTGGAGAAGGCAGCAGCCGCAAGAGGAGGGGCGGGAGGAGAAAGGGGGTCCCGAGCGTCGGGAGTGTCTGTGCCCAGCCCGAGCGAGCAAGTGCGAAGAGCCGCTTCGGCCGCCTCCAAAGCCAGGCGCCCGGCTCCACTCCCGGCTATTGTTTCCTTCCGAAGGCAAGCGGAGAAAGGGCGCCGAACAAACAGCGAGAACAATAGAGTCCGCCGGCAGGGACAGGGCCGGGGACGGGGCAGATGCCGGGGCTACAGCCGCTGCTGGTACTGCACCTCTGGCCGCCCGCCTTCCCTCCGCCGCCGCCGCCGCTGCGCCCCCGCTCCCAGCCAGCGCTCCCTGGCAGCCTCCGCTCAGCTGAGAGTGAGAGCCCGAGCGGGAGGGAGCCAGCTGTCCGCAGGAGACTCCAGCTGACTGAGCAGGTTATCTGGGGCTGCGTTGGATGGGAGGACGCAGCAGTCAGGCACACCAGCTGGAGAGAGAGAGGGGGAGGGAGGGAGGAGGGGGAGCAGGGGGAGGGAGGGGAGGACAAGAACAAAAAGGGAAGGGTGGGGGGAGACGTAGACATGTAACCAGACCCACTTCTACAGATACCTCTGCAGAGCTAGGCGAGAGATACCAGGAAGAACCATCCCCGCCCCAGAAGCGCCCCCCCCCCGCCCCCGCGACGATTATTAGCGCTGGTCCCCAGTGCCCCGTGATGGGCACTGCTGCCAATCGAGGCCGGAGGCCTCCTCCGGGGCATCGACTGTGGGTTACGTGTGGGGGAGGGAAGGGGGGCGGGGTGCGTAGGCACGAACAGGGCCAATTTCCAATTCGTCTTTCAATATGAAACTTTTGAGTTACTTCAAGGGGGAATTAGTAAATCCCGAGGACACCAACGTGAACGGCACGATGGGAGAGCGGGAATCTTAAAGACAGACATGGGCAGCCCCCAAATCGAACGCCCCCCCATTTCTAGATTCAAGGAAATCACGTTTCCTTTGCCAGCATAGGGTCTTTCTATTATTACAAAATGAAACAAGCTCGGTCTTTCTGGACACTGTAAAGTATGTCATTCGGTGCGGATTAGTATTGGAAATACCATCCTCTGCTGTTTATTCTGGGAGAAAAAGCAAAGTGCTGATAACCTTAGAGGTTAGCCAGACAGAAACAGGCAAGAGTTGTAGGGCTCCTGAAAATATGCTAAATTCTGAAGACCCAGGGGCAGAGGACACAAAATCCAGGCTGCTTTTATTATTATTATTATTATTATTATTATTATTATTGCTAAGACAATTTCCGGGCCTCACTCAACTTGTTCCTTTCACTCACAGACTCTGGATACTGTAGTCAGTCCCGGACCTCTTGGAAAATGAAAAGCTAACTGCCATCTCTGGGATGTGTGTGTGTGTGTGTGTGTGTGTGTGTGTGTGTGTGTTGTGTGTGTGTGTGTGTTGGGGGGGGAGTGAATGGATTTCACTTGTTCATCACTTCCTCTGCGTAGCCCCAAGCCCCAAGATCCATAACTATAGAGGAATGTATCTGCAGCGATGGCGTGAAGAGGGGAGTTTTCTCCCCCAATAGCCTTATATTAATTATTCATTCAGCTTCTAGTGAACTTAAAATAGCATCAAGAGACTGGCCTCTTTTCCCTTTCTTTGAAGCTGCAAACAGAAGAGCCCAGAAGCCCTTCCCTGCAGAGTCCTCCCCATCAGCAGAGAAGCAGGCCAGGCTCGGTGAGGGGGCCAGGGGAGTGGACAGCGTCCCTCTCCCCATGCAGCAGCAGTCCCAGCTCTGGTGTTGAAAGCCAGGAGGCTCCTGTTTTCCAGAGAGGCTGGAAACCTTCAGGAACCTCTCTGGGGAGGCCTGTCATTGTACAGAGCCTCCTAGCTCTGGCTCTTCCCTGGCATTAGATTAAAAGCAGCCTGGAGCCAATAATTCCCAGGTCCTGCCTATTTAAATATTCTGACATCAGAGGAAATTAGCAATGTGGGGAGGTGGCGAATTTGGCCTTTGTTTACTTTCCACTCCGTTAGGCCTGTAAGAGAGAATTAAAGGCTCAGAGAGGCCAGCTCCAGGAGGCTGTGATTAACAGAGATAAGCAAATGGTGGATTACTGCTTCTTAGGCAAGGGAAAACAAAAACAAAAACAAAAACCAGGCACCAAGCCCCAGATGAGAGACAGCTGTGGAAGAGTGAGCAAGCCCCATCCATACCCGCTGCTGCCCCCCTCCCCTCAGGCTCAGTCCAAAATGACAAACTATCCCTGTGACTCTTCTGGGGAGGGCGGGTAATCCAGAGAAAGGTATGCTCTGCACTGACTGCTTGCCAGCTGCCACCTTGCCTCATTTGGCCCCATTTGCCCACCTCGTCGGGCTGCCCTGAGGCTTCCCTTCAGCCTGGGGTGGACAGCTTTACCAAGGAATTTGGAGGTGGATGAGATCTGTTAACACTCTCCTAGCCCAAGCAGGCTGCCACTTAACAGGAGGCAGATCATTTCCCTGGGAGGAAAAATGAAACAAAACAGCCAGCCTGGAGGGAGGGAGCTAAGAAGTCCACTGAGGGCAAGGAAGTTGCCCAGGACCCTGGCCAGGCCAGCCAAAGGCTAACACAGAGCAGCTCTCAAGCCATGACTCAAAAGCACAGTTAGGATCGGGATCTTCCCATTCATGTCAAATTGACCCATGATGCCCCTGGCCAGCAGTCTACATTTTCAAGGCCATAGTTGCAAGTACAATATCACATGGCCAAGGGTTTCTGAGTCAAAACACAATTTCCATTTACAGTGCAAGCCTCAGTCAACATGGATATAAGTTCATTTTTAAGGAGATGAAGTCATTGGGTCCACCATTACAGTTGCAGAAAGGGAAGACAGTCCCAAACCAGTGTCTGTCTGAGGCAGCTGGGGAAGGCAGAGACATCTGGACAAGGTTATAGAAACCAAGGCAGGGACACATTCGTCTCTGTCAGGAACACCTAGCTCCCCTGTCTCCTTGTCATTTCATCCCTCTCTTTAGGACACCAGTATAGGGGGCTTTGAGGAGAAGGGAGGTCACTCAGGGCCTTTTGTGAAAGCTAGCACACCCACTGGACAAACTCGATGCACTAGGCAGACCAGTTGTCTTCGAAGGAGGCTGGCCTTTTGTTTTCTCAAGAGTAGTCTAAATAATATACAAATATCTTATGACATCATGTCACAATTTCACCCTCTGAAATCCCAAGGAAGCCAATGGAATCCACCATCTGTATGGCTCACTAGGAGGCTGTGCCTTTGTCATTCTCCCAGAGAACTCTTCAAGTATTAATGAGCCTGGGAAATCAAACATCTGAAACTCAAGGCAGATGAAAAATGCTGAGCATGTTTCTTAATAATTGGAAAGATGAGCGGTGCAGACACTGACTTGGTAACCCCCCCAGCTGCTAAAGGCAGGAGCTCCTAGTGCGACAAAGCCAGGGGCATGTGTACACAGAGAAGCTTACATATTGGCAGGAGACACAGTATGGCTTAATGGCTGGAGTCTTGAGGGACCTGGGCTCCAACCCAACCTCTGATCCTTAATTGTGTGATTATAGGCCAGTGACTTCATGTCTCTGAACCTCAGTTTTCTCTTCTGTAAAATGAGGATATTAACACCTGCAGTGCCTACTTCAGGGTTACTGGATGGTTCAAGTGCTATAGACAGATGATAGATAGACAGATATAGATACGTCAATATGTGTAAGAACTCCGTGAACCATGAAGCATTATGCAAATGTTTATTATTATTTTTATTCATTAGAATTCTAACATCTGTTTTGCTTTCCTCATGGGTTGTTGTAAGGATCAATGAGCTAATATATGTAAAAAGCTTTGCCACCCTTACAACTCTATGTAAATGATAGTTATTACTGATGAAGTTGGAAAGGTGGAAAGGATGGGGTAATGGAGACAGGCTGGATTTGGAGTCTTGAATGACTTCTGCTGTCTGCTCGCTTGTAGGAACCAAGCCTTTAACCTGCCTCCTTCATTGATAAAATGAGGAGATTCATAGCTAGAATATCTACACCCCAGAGCTGTCTGGGCAAAAGCCAAAGACCTGCAGAAATGGCACTAGTTATTCTAATGGACAGAGCACCACGGTCAGCTCTCAGATCGGTCCAGGGTCCCTCTGAAGCAGACACTACTACCGCACTTTGCTAATGAAAGTAAACTAGGGAATTCGCAGTGTGCGTTGTGTTCGGTGTTGTTTTTCCTTTCCCCTCAATAAGCATCTGTAAATGGACCGACAACAAAGGGGAAAGGAAGAGTAGGGACACTTCGGAGAGCGGCTGCTGCCATTACTTGGCAGCAAAATACTCGAGAAGGTGAAAGAGAGAGCCTCGGGCACACAAGCTGCTCATGTGGAACGCTAGTCCTGAAAAACAAACGATCCCCAATTCAATTTCTTGGCAGAAGAGGGAAGAGCTTCTGATAGCATCGATGTTTACACAAAAAGAAGCAAATAGAAAAATGGAGAGAGGGCGGCCGGGCGATAGTGGTCCTGAAGAAACGCTTCGGTGAGGACAGGAGCGGAGAATCTCATTTCTGCAGCGCAGGCAGACGCTAAGCCCTCATTTCACTGACGCTGAGAGAATACTGCTTGTGGACTCAGGACAGAAGCCACCTCATGGAGCTTGGATGGCGTGGCCTCTAGGTGTCAGGCTTGACCAGGGTTTAGGCCAGGTGAATTTGCACTGCCCTTTTCTCAATTTTCATAGGAGTAAGAATCTTGTCTTTGTTCTTGGATTCTATACTACCTCCACCTCCCCGCCCCCCCTTTTTCTTTTCCTTCCTTTACCCCCAGATAACTTTTTTTGTTTTTTATTTTTTGAGAAAAACCAGACGGGCAGACTCTGCTTCTCCTCCTGTTCTGTGGTCCACTTACAATCTCTTTTCTCCTTCAAAACACCTGAAAGCCCCATGTCTTCTGTGTCCCAAAACCTAGCCTGGGGCATGCATGTAGTGACCTTTGGTGGTAAGGAGCAGGGGGACCCATGTAATTAGCTGCATGGAAGGTGTACCCTCCCAAATCTGTAGCCCATCTGAAAAGAGGAATGCAATCACACACGGGTAGATTTTATTTGGAAGGCGAAGGATAGCTCTTATTCTGATCCAGTGACCTCAATGTTCATTCAGGAAACATTCACTAAGTATTTTATACATGCAAAAGTCTGCATGGTACTATACAAAGTGGGCTTTGGAGTTAGAAAGCTCTGGGTTCAAGTCCTGTTTTGGACAAAAGGCCAGTCCCTCAGCCCCTCAGGGCATCAGGGAGTTCTTGTGGTCAGGCAGGTGCCATTCTTCATCCTAACTTTCTGTCAAGGGCACCACCCTCTTCCCAGTCCAACAGCTCCCAGCCTCAGCATCATCCTCAGCCCCTTACTCTGACTCCCCCATGCATTGAATTGATTGTCTAATCTTCCCATTTTACTTTCATAGAGTCAACCCAAAGCATTT